GAACCGGTAAGGCTCTCGCGCAAGCCGGCCCGGGCTCTATCTTCATCTCGTACACTGTCGTCGGCATGATCGTCTACCTGGTCATGACGGCCCTCGGCGAGATGGCAGCTTGGCTCCCCATGTCTGCTGGTTTCACTGGTTACGCCTCTCGGTTCTGCGACCCCTCGCTTGGTTTTGCGCTCGGTTGGACGTAAGTTGTCGACTTTCGTTTTCATTTTCATTTTCATTTTCATTTTCCTAGTCTGGTAGTCTGGTTTATTCGCACGAATTGCGCAGCACACTCCTAACGCCCTCGACGATCAAAACTAACCCATCAATCTCGTATAATGTAGTTACTGGATAAAATATATCATCGTCACACCTAATCAGCTTACAGCCGCCGCTCTGGTTATACAGTTCTGGCTGCCTCGAGACCAAGTCAACCCGGGTGTATGGATTGCCATATTCCTTGTCGCCATCATTTGTATCAACTATTTCGGTATCCAATTCTTTGGTGAATTCGAATTCTGGCTGTCGAGTTTCAAAGTCGTCGTCATCATCGGCGTTATCCTTCTATCTCTCATCATCGCTTGCGGTGGCGCAGACGGTGACCCGAGGGGGTTCCGCTACTGGAGAGACCCTGGGTAAGTAGATTACGCCGTCTTATGATAGCTATAACAAAGCTACTACAGAGAGACCGTGTTGCTAACCCGTAACAGTGCTTTCGTTCCCTACATCGCGACAGGCTCCTGGGGTCAGTTCCTCGGATTCTGGTCTACTATGGTCACTGCTACTTTCGCTTATCTGAGTACCGAGTTGGTCGGTGTGACGGTTGGCGAGGCCCAGAACCCGCGCAAGACTATCCCTCGCGCCATCAAGCTCACTTTCTACCGAATTGTCATCTTCTACTGTGTCAGCATTCTTTTGATCGGCATGTGCGTTCCCTACAACGCCAAAGAGCTCGTCTTTGCCGTCAACCCGGATAAGGATCCCAACAAGAAGGCCGGTGCCAATACCTCCAACGCCAGCGCCTCTCCGTTCGTCGTCGCCATCAAGCTCGCCCATATCCCGGCCCTTGACCACATCCTCAACGCCTGCATTCTCCTGTTCGTCTTCTCCGCCGCCAACTCCGATTTGTACATTGCCAGCCGAACCCTCTATGGTCTGTCCTCGGACGGCGCAGCCCCCTCCATCTTCAGAAGGACCAACCGCAAGGGCGTACCCCTATACACCCTCTTCACCTCTGCGGCGTTCGGCCTCCTCGCTTTCTTGAACGTCTCGGACGACTCCAAGCAGGTCTTCTCCTACTTCGTCAACCTGACTACCATCTTCGGCCTCTTGACGTGGATCTCGATTCTAGTCACGCATATCTGGTTCGTGCGGGCTCGCCGCGCGCAGAACTTGACCAACGACATGTTGCCGTACTCGGCGCCGCTGGGTGTGTGGGGCTCGTACGTGGCGCTGTTCATGTGCATCCTAATCGCGCTGACCAAGAACTTCGACGTGTTCACGGGCGACTTTAAAACCAAATACCCCAGTTTCATCACGGGCTACCTGGGCATCCCCATCTACTTGATCCTCATCTTCGGACACAAGGCCTGGACCAAGAGCAAGGGTGTCCGTCCTCACGAGTGCGACTTCTACACGGGCAAGGACATCATCGACCGCGAGGAAGAGGAGTTCCTCGCTGCCGAGGCGATTAAGCGCGCGGCAACACCTGAGAGTAGACAGGGCCTGGCGCGCTTCTACAAGCGCTTTGTTTCTTGGCTGTTCTAGACGACGGTGCTTGTTGTGGTTGGGTACTTGGGCCGGGGCATAGGAGCTGGAGCGGGAGGTCATACTGCTTGTCATATTGAAAAGATACCTATTTCTGTCTGTATATGTACATATGTCTGCGTTACGTTTCGTACGAACGCTATGGTATAATGAAGGAAATTTAATTTGTTAGGGTATATGCTCGCGTCTCAAGTGTACATATCTATTTATGTGATGATCTCTGTAGTAGCAGTTACGCTCACATTGCCATCTGTGATGGTTTGCTTATAGTGATATGTGATTCTTTTTTCACTGGCTACATAACGAGGTTGGTTACCTTAGTTAGGTATTGTACCTAACCTAGGTATAAGCTATGTCGAGCCTCGGAGCCAGTCGGCACTACTACTACTACTACTACTACATTCTACGAGTAAAGACGAAGTCGTCGCAGTTTACTGCCTCTACGATGTATATATATGTGTGCATGTGTCAGAACTTACATGATCCCTAAATCCCGGATGTGACACCCGCAGTCGGGAAGCCTTTGAGGCTGAAGAAGACCGGAAGATAGCGGTAGGGCAAGCAGGCAGACAGGCACAGATATACGTTAGTGCGTAACATCACAGGTAACGCGAGCGGAGATTGCGAGGACCTCTGCGTACCTCTCCAACCCCTTCTTGACTCGGTCTCGGTATTGTAGTACGTTACGTTACCTACCTAAGATGGCGGGGTGGGAAGGGAAGGGAAGCGCATGAATGATGTTCCTGGTGTTACCTTTTTCTGGCACATCCAATGGGCTTTTTATAGATTGCTAGGGTGGGAGTGGGAATCGTGATTGCGGCGGGCGTTGACAACGATGATAAATTAGGTAGATAGGTCACGCCGAAGGATTCGATCCGTGCCCGTGGAATTTCTCCTTGCTCTTTTCGCTTATTCCGAGAGTAGGTAGTCAAAAGTTTGGGAATTATCTAGGTTGGTACGAATGGATTTTAATATAGCGTAGGGGACGTTTAACTGGCTCTTTAGCTGTGGTGCCCCGTTGATGGGATGGTATAGTATGGCAATTTTGTGATAGCTTTAGGTCATCGTAGGCGATTCCGTTAGATACTACGGCTAGGATCACGATAATCTAAGACATACAGAGATGCATTAACTAATAACTCTAAAGAATACCGAGTTACGCTCTACTGGTATTATGGTACCCAATGGAGTGTGCTAGACACACCCACACTACTCGTTCCCCTTGCATCGGTTATACTATCTACACTCACGTCGTATTTGCTAAAACAGGTAAGTACCTAGGTTAGGTAGGTCGATGGACACATTCTAGCATAGACCTAATCGGGGACTTACCTTCTGGTTGACTCGAAGAGACCAGGGTTTTGGCCCGAATAAGGGACAAGGTGACGATCCCACGGTACATAATACTCCTTTCTTGGAAAGTGATATTCAACGCAAAGGTTCAAAAGTCGACACTTATGCGACTATGAATATGACAAGTCGTGGAAGGAGATTATCACATTATGTATAGTGCCGATTATAAGCTTCTATACGTTTGCTATATGCGTTCTTTACAGTAGAAAGTAACGTTTAACTTCTATGCTTGGAAGACGTAGATAGGCTCGGGTATCTAATTCGAAGTCAAACCATAAGCCAACCTTTTCTAAGGTGGCGAGTAGTTAGAGTGATACTATATCAAGTGTCGTGAGGTGGACCAAGAAGCCAAGAAGCAAGGAAACGACTTCATTGTTCCACGAGGAACTCTACCTAAGCCACGGGAGTCGACGGCTATGCATAGGCTTTCGGTGTATAAGTTGGTCAGGTAGATTTAGGGTCTCTCTACTATATAGTAGAGACCCCTGAATCTACCCCTGACCAACTTATACTGAATGCGTATGCTTCGTAGCCTCAATTCGATTTGAAATTTAATATGAAGGTAAACCTAAGCTATTGTATTCATTAACGATATGTAGAACTGATGTCCCTACCTTAGGTAGTCATGTAAGGCATTTGTAATATTGCACGACGTTCACCTTAAAGTATAGAGACCGGCGTTTTGATTCACTCTAGCTTCTTATAGAGCGCGGGATCAGTGTGACCAAGGGTCATTGGTAGTAGGAATGCGCACGCCAGAGCGGTCCTTGCTGTTGTTGGGAGTACTTCTACGACTCATAAGGAAGATAATGGAGAGGACGCTGCGCACGAGTGAGTCTGGACTCCGGCCCCCATCGATTAGGGGTCCATGGCACGGTAAACACGCGGCAAACTACAGTTCTGGTACTAAGAACCTCAGAAAGTACTCTGTAGACAAGCGCCAACCGAACGGCGGCAGCAACGCAGCAGCTTCAAGCAGTCAGTCGGCGACGAAGACCATCGCCACCCATACTGCAATCTTAAACTTTCTTATAGCGAAGATCCTCTTGTAAAGTAGCAGTATGGATATTTCTACCAAGGTTAAAGTGATCTGCGTGAGTTCGGAAGCGAGGAGAAGACACTAACATGACAGGCTTAACACTGCCAAGTTTAAAATATATATCCACTACATGTGAAATGGTCCAAAGGGTAGGTAACTTACAACAGCGGAGTAGACGGCGCTCGTGAATGCGTCGGTGCTATATATATCGATTCCAATATAAACTACATAGACCCAAACATTGATACTGAGCGCAATGGATGATAGCTGGTTGGTACACTCGCATTGACAAGAACAGTCGCAAAGAATTATGACATTTGTTTGCCATAGATGCTAAGGACTTACCCATGTGGCTAATATCCACCCATCATCCACCTGTAAATCAGACTTGGACTTTGCTCGTGCCTCGAAGCTTGTAGCATCGGAGAGGAATATTTTGTATTTATGGTCCTCGAAGGCTTTACTACGAACGTTTCGAGGGTCATTAGAGCTAGGTAGTTGTGCTGTATCTCAGCTTTCGTTGTTTTATTCGTAGTGTTCCTAGGCAAAGGACAAAGAAAATACTGCTACTTTATTTGAAAGGAATAAGAAGTGGGAGTCCTCTGGGTCACCATAAAGAGCAAAGTGTAATTCTGGCAGGACACACATAGTTATAAACTGGACAAGATAAAGAGAATTGTTCCTTTTCAATTAATTATCACAGCAACAATATTACGTCGTTGCTTACGCACCCCTGAGCTAAGCTAAGCTAAGCAATTCCGAGGCCAGTCATGTTGCTAACCAGCTTTCTCCTATCCGTAACCCAGTATTAATACGCCCTCTATGGCTACCTACCTACCTACATACATACACCCATAGTCCAAGCTATCGCTGGCTAACCTGGTGGAACACTCGATAACCTTCCGTCCGCAACACAGATACGTATATATGTACGGGTCCAGCTCGCTCGGCAGGCACTCTCAACACCAACTACTCCGGAAAATCAGGACATGAATGCAAAATAGCAGAGGTAGCAATGCAAAGTCGTCTGGACGACACGAGGTAGCCTCCTTATATTGAATGGTATGATCATCAGAAGTCATCCACGCCTCATGATACTTTTCAACCCGAGGGGACGCCCCCAAAGACGCACGAGCCTCCGCAACAAAAAAAAGGGACGATCGAGATTCGAAGTCCAAGTTTGTTAAACCCGGAAAAAAAAGTATAAAATTCCACATTACAGCACGCGTAAAAACATCAAAAATGACATACAAACCAGCCTTAAAACAAAGGGGTGGGGGAAGGGGTATCCATAAAAAGAGGAGAGCACATCCTCTTCTCCTATTTTTTTTTTTCATCCCGTTGGAAGCGGGTCGTCATGAGCATCCCCCAATTCGAAAACAAATAAGTCATCTCCCAAAAACCGCGCATAAACGTCGTCAAACTTCGAGAGTGAGGCATTCAAACCCGTCATCAATCAAGCCCATTCGCTAAACCCGCATTTCCATTCCACCCGTTTTTCCAGACGAGAACCACCGGCAACCAAAAGTTTGAAGACGAAGAAAAAAAAGAACCGTTATTCTAGTTATTCGAATCCAGATCCCCTTGTTCGAGCGGTACGAAGGGCTGGTCTTGTCTGGTTTACCAGCCTGATCGTCATGCCCCAGCAGAACAAACCGCTATCTTGGTCCGAAGTCTCTTCCTCCTAGGGGTGCGAAGGCTTCTCGTCGTGCGTCGTCCGAGTAGGCGGCGGAGAATTCGGCAACGGGATTTCGTGTGGTTCACGTGGCTCGCGTACCGAGTTCATCTCAGGTGTTGCAACACGAACCGGACCCGGACCTGTGGGCGCCCCTTTTTCGTCTATACTTCCCATAGTTTCTGCACTCCTTCCCGAGGCTAAAAAGGCCTGTACCTGATCTCTCGGAGGGGACTTCGTGCGCTTAACCTCCACGTTTTCTTTCGCTTCCCGATACTTGTTCTTAATCCATCCGATGGGACCCTTCGAGTCTTCTTTCTCTCTACTTCCGGCTTCACTTTCCGCTAGTGTTGCCGCCACATCTGAGGATTCGCCCGTCCAACTCTTCCGTGGCCTTTGCCCACTCCCAATAGAAGAGGTGCTCAACTCGGCATGGGAATTGTAACCCAGGTTATGACCATGTTCGCTAGAGAAGTCCTCCTTTCGTCGAGATATACGCCATCGATGTTTCTTTTCTTTTTCGGCTGCATCCGGCGAAGAGACAGGCGCACAACCCTCTGCCTGGTCTACATCAGACCCGTCGTTGAATGACGAATGTAGGGATGTTGACGGTGAGGTCTTTGCCTTGAGCGTATTACCATTCTCTGAATCGCCATGTACGGTGCTCGCAGATGGCACCTGAGACGCTCGCGGCGTAGGCTCCGATGGCGTCTCTATAGAGGTACTATTCTCTGTGTTAGTAGGACCTGGATGGGGAACTTTCTGTTCTATCGGGTTCGAAGATTCATGAATCGGAGAAACTGCCTCCGAATGAGGAAGTGAGGCGGTCGAACTCTGGGCACTGGGGTTGGTACTACTAGGTAATCGCTTTTTGCGCAGCTTATTGGGCTGGCGCTTTTCACCTTCCGCGGCCTGGGATCGTTGGAAAAGACCCTGGAGGTTCCTCTCCCTTAAAGGAGTTATAATATCGGCAGGAGGACCTAATAATCTTTCTTGGCTTCTTGCAGCGGAATGCGACTCTGCCGCCATCGGAGTTAGGTGCTGCGATGTCGTAGGAGACTGTTCGGCTACGGTTGACGCTTCTTCAGCTACAGTCGGCGGAGCGCCTATGTTAGAATCTGCGGGCGAGGGCGAAGCTGGAGCTACCGAGACGCTAGGTGAGCTCTGCCGAGGCTGGAATTTTCCGGAAGGAATATGAGGCGACTTCTTAGACGGAACTGTATTACTTCTTCCGAGCCCACCATTCGGCGTCAGAGCAGGGCTACCGGGCGTAGAAGCACCGTTGGAGTGAATCGAGTGCCGCGACGATGTAGAACGATTCCGCCTAATCTTACCATCCCTACTAACGCTCTCAGCGCCAGCGCTAGCATTGGAAGCAGATCTTACAACGCCAGTATTGCGGTTTGGCGTTGCGGGTGTTACAACCGTCGGTGGGCCTTTTTCAATTTCTCGTTTAGTCCTCTCATCCGTACCGGTGCCTTGCATACCGATTAAGAAGTGATCCTGATTTTCAATTAAGAATATAATAACACATTGGTTAAGTCGGTACTCCTCTGGCGCCATGGCATGTTGCGGATGCGAAAGCATTCCAGGTTGAAAGATGGCAGCTAGATTTTGAGCTGTCATCCGATTCTCATCGGCCTTGGCGGCAAATACCGCGAGCAGATCCAGAATATACAAGAGCAGCTGTCGGTTAAGAGGGGGTAGTTCCTTAATAAGCTGTTGGTACTTTTCTATAGCTTCAGCTTCGTCGAAATCCTCGACAAGTTGGGTGCCCTCGGTGTCACCGACAGCTTGCTTTGTGTGTCCGCGCAAGGGATCTCGAAATAGTTCGTATAGATCTAGCGGAACTACAGGTTCAGGTAGGTCATTCAAATACCGTCGAAGGACGTTAGCAGCATCGTGAACCGTATACCCATCCCACACGAGACCTTTGCCGTATCGATCGGGTGAGTCGAACTGTATCTTTAGCTCCTTAATGCGCTTCTCAGAGCCGCTGAGGCGGAAAATTCCCTCGACGCTCGTAGCTATAACATTATTAGCATAAAACCAAACCAAATGCCTCGATGGCTCCGTCGCTAACCTTTCTCTTTCAGAAAAACACCACATTTAGCCACTACAATTGGTACATATCCATATATGTAGCTTTGACCGTCTTCATCGACAAGTGAAATGGCGACGTTCGCGTATGTGATGCTTTGTCGTAGAGGAACACCAAATATACCCTTGGGTTGGGACTCTGTTTTGACTCTCATGTTAGCTACCGCTTTCTTACTGTGATCGTACTTTGTATTTATCTGTTCCCCTTAACTGCCAAAACGGCGTAGCTTGGAGAGCAAACCTGCTATTAGGGGCGTAGGCTGACCATTCCGACTTCCTCGACATATGCGTAGGGCCATATAGCATATATTATACCAATACCGACAGTTAGGGGGTTGGGATGGAAGACTGGTAGCTTGTAGAAAAAAGTTGAATAGTGTGGGCAGTTGGCATGTAGGTGGGAATAGGTATGTGATTGTAGCCCTTACCTTGGGATTCTTGGTGCCTTGACCGAGTTTGGAAAGCCTTCCACCACGATTTCAGATCTCGCCTGCTAGGCGGGGATGCAGGATTAGCAGCAGGAGACGGATGCTGCTGCGGCGGACTCATTTGCTGCTGGTTTTGATGCTGTTGTGGTTTTGACGGCGACGTAGTGCCGGCAGAAGCCATGGTCTATGACGCGCGGGCGACGGTGACCGCGACCGTCAGCAGGGTTAAACGATACGTTGTGACGATGGATGCGCGTGATCTCGTACGCCTTTGGTAACAACGACCTTTGTGTAGAGAGGATAAGTAATAATGGAGGAAGCTTCGAGGTTTGCCGTGTTAAGAGGTGTTAAAAGACAAGATCAAATACAGGCGTGTGCGTGTGTGCATGCGTAGACGTGGGTTTGGTGGGTAGGTTGTAGGTGGATAGGTTAGTTGATTGATTGCCGACGATAGAGAGCAACGGTAGGGCGGGCGGCAGGGCGGGTACAGGTATAATAATGAATGTCGGGTCTAAGCCAAATGTTTCAGAGCGGACTAGGACCTAACAAATGGGACTTGGACGATATTCGAGCGTCGGTGAACGGGGCACCTTTTGTGACCGATATCAAATTTGTTAAAAGGGCGTCAGGTAGGTTGAAGATGAAGTGAGTGTGGTAGCCCTCAATTATTACCAGAGCACAATAGGGTAAGTTGATAAAAGTGCTAAGGTTGTGTAGGAGGTAGGTAGGTAGTGTAGGTAGAGAAATAATGTCAGGGTTAGGTAGGCTAGGTAACTTGAAGTCAGGCTGGTGGTAGGCTGGGTTGTAGCCCGTAGGTATGTACTACATTGGGCCTGGGAATGGATGCAACTCCCACCTAGGTTACATAGATGTCCATATGTAGGTAGGTACATACCTACCTCTTAGGTACTTAACCTAGGTACCTACCTGCCTACCTGCCTTTATGTTAGCCCGGGAGAGAGCATTGCTTTCCCCCCGGTACTGCGACTCTGTCAACTGTGGCTTAGATACATAGTGCACTATACTGTACGGAAAATACAGTGTATACCGATCCACTATTACTGTTATCACTGTCTCTAGGCTGTACAATACCTAATGTATTGTAGTATCTACAACTTACTTAGGTACATGTTCCTCATGTTGAAATGCAACATTGAACCATACAAGTCTAAACTCTAATTCCCCATATCCAACAAAAGCATACAATTCTAAGTTTAATACATGTACCTACCAGTTATACCATGTACCTCTTACATGCACGTACTGGAACCTTAGCATACTACATTGTACTTATCTTAATCCTCGTGCGCATCTCCCTTTTACCTGGTAAAGTAGATAATTCGTCTTTCATGGCGGACTCTTGATGATCATAGTATATAGCTGCCTGTTGCCGACTATTTCGTTTTGCGGCTGCCTTTAGCCTCGACTCTCCTTTACACTTGGCGTTCTTATATTGGACACGGCATAAAGTTACCAGCTTCGTATACGTAGATCTCCCATGAAGATAGACTCGAGGGCTAGTTGAAGTAGAGTTGGACGAAAAACTTTCTAGCTATACACGAACAACATACCTACCTACTTACCTACCTACCTATCTAAGATGCTCTAAGACACCGCTTACAGATGGTACAAAAATACGACCGTTAGGATTTACACCAGAGACACACCTCGAAGCTCGAGTGGGCCGTGTGGAAGACTGTGCTAAGCCTCTACGTTGCACTAATCACTTCCGGACCGCGACACCGCAACCCGGGGAGCCTATGTATGTACCTAGTAGAGGTGGTCGAATAATAGGTAGGTATCAAAGGGGCAGGGGGGAATCCAAGACCCACGAGTCTAGAAGCGCATCTCACATACGGAATACATAGTAGACTTCTCGTATCGTTCCCAAACAAGGTTAACAGGTTTATTCTGAAACATGGTTCAAGCTGCATTTAAACATTGGCCTTCTCTGTATACGGCAGCTGAAGTAAGCAGGCTACTCCTTAAGAAGCTATTATTAGCTCCCTCGAGAGACTATATTGTGTCACTATTGTGTACACAGCCTATGAGGGCGGCAGCTTGATAGGTGACCGCTTTTGGGCTTTGCTTATATTTCGCTGAGCTCAAGCTACAGCAACGACAGGTCTATTCGTACACTACCTATTACCTACACACCGTACCTTATTGATGTAGGTACTTGGTCTGCTGGCTTAAGTTTAAGCCGTTGCCACCTTATTTCAATCAGTGATTTCAATATGCCGGGCCAGTTAGCTATCATGTTGTCAGCGTCATATGGTACCATTTCCAAGTTTTTGATAGGACAGAAATGAAGATAGAAAAATACAACACCTCCAACTTGCTCAGCCTCTCTAGCGTCTCTGTCGACAAGCACGAGCAACCAGGGACAAGACGTATAAGGCTAGGGAGAAAGAAGGGGGCGGGTCACAGACATACATAAGGCATTATTACCGTCAACCCGTCTCTTCCAAGACCCAAGTTCTAGAAATGACGTCGACCCTTACCAGATATTCCACAGCGTTGCTCACAGAAAGGGATTGTCTCTTTTGTTACATAGTCGAATCCGGGCTGTGCTTGGCAATATACATTCGTAGTGGCGTCACAACGTACCCCCCTCCCCAAATGTGTACCCCGTGCACATACGGGAAGCACGAATCTTATTTCCTGTGTTGTTTGATAGGAAGAAGCTCCTGAGGTCCCCAAATTTGGCTGTACATACATAGTATTACAATGTGCTTGAACCCCGCCGCTGATCAGCACGGGCGACACCTCATTTGGGGTAATCTTTTCTTTGGTTGTGTCCTAAAATTAGTAGGGATTTCTCTGCTGCTGCCTTTACAACTTCCCCTTCGCTGTCAAACTCCGGCTGGAAGATTGCTTAACTACCTCATGGCTGATGGGTCACGACGAGCTTGAGACTAGTCACATTGTTGAACCAGGTACGGAAGCATATTGGACTTCCGGATTATTAGCTTTCACATGGGAAGCTCGCCCCGCAGATCATCTCTTTAGTGGGATACTATATCATGAAGCTTAGCTCTACTACGGCGTCTACCTTACCTTACCTATGTATTAACCATTGGTTTCGCTTCATCTTAGTTAAGACTCATACGTACCTATCAATAACATGCACCCACCATAATACGACTATAACTCCCGTCGAAAGACAATAACATACCGCAGACTAAGACAACAGACAAGATCATCCTAGGGTCGTTGGATCTCTTCTAATCTAAAACTAGTATTTAGCTCTAGCTCGAGTGGATACACATCTATGTAGATGAAAGAAAATAAATGTTCGACCTAAGAAGCTTACTGATCCGATCCGGCTAGCGATGGGAATACCTAGGTAGTTAGGCGCTTATGGCGATATATTGATACCTAGATTGATCGACGTAGGACGGTAGTTCAGACACTGGCTCTCGACAGACGTCATAATGGAGCATCTCCCGAGCCCATGTCATACACAAAACTTCATGTTTGATTTAAAAGAACGAGCACACACGAAACATGCCTCGCCAGAGTCGTACAGTTTCTTAAAACTTTATGAGTGACTATGTATTAGTCGTCAATGGCATCGTATCTAAATTCAGAACTGAAACTGAGCAGACCGGTTTGGCTATATAGTTGTAGAATATTTACGAAGCTTAAAACACCAGCGAGATATTCTTCTCGTACCTGTTATACGAATCTTATAAATACCTATGTTCTAAAATCTAAGCTCTTTCTAAGTCTGGTGTAGTCTATAGCTAAGCGATAACATCTTCCCTTACCTTAGGTAGTGCATAGACCTGCTCGCTCGGTAAGAAAGCAAGAAAGGCCAAGAGAAAATGATACGGACAGAGGAAACAAAGATAGAAAGCTACGCACGGAAATAGAAATATACACATCGATACAAGTCAACTGATCCATTGATCACTCGGAGAAGCTTGCACTCAAAACTCTTATACACTAGTTTTATCATAATACTGGTCATAATTCTGGCATTTAAAATCACCTGCCTGACTTCACCCTACGAAATCAAATAGAAAATAACCAAAGCACCGTCAATTTCCAGGTCGTTCATACGGTAACGAGAATGGCAGGGCTGCCGTATACATTGTACATACAGAGGACGCCATGGTCCGAAAATTCATATGCAACCAGCCCCGGGCAGCTCTAGCGAAAGAACCCTATGGTTTACCGTGAACACCGACCAAGACACGCGCAAAACAACAACGAAGCAAGATACGACCGATCCTTTCCCTATCCACGGAACACTCCACGTCCGCCAAAAGGGGTATTAGGTTGTCGTAGGAACAAAATGCCAAACATGTCTGGGGGAACCTGTACCGCCCGTGTACAAGGTTACGACGCCCAAACCCACCTAGTCGTGATGCCGTGTATCTGTACTCCCCGCCAATACGCCAGAGATTTGCGACAGAGATTCCTGTGCTAACACGCCAACTTACACGGAGGGCCAAGTAACGCCCTTCCAATCCAATCGGCGTATGTCCGAGACCCTAAAAGTGTTGACATACGAAAAGAAAGAAAAAAGGCGCCTGTGTGATGGCGACAATAGAAAGAATACCCGAGGTCCTATAAATATACTAAAGGTGAAATGAAGCCGCCGCCTAAAACGCCGAATGATGAATCCCGTCGGTGATGATGAGACCAGCCATTGTCAGTCATGGCGGTGGGATTAGTCTTAATAAACAAATTAAAAAGGCCGCGGGGCTTGAATAGGTGTAGTGCAATCTTTTTACGTGTCGTCATACGTCGTGAGAAATGGTTTTTGTAGGGTTATCAAGCACCGATGGGAACACTCCGCGGTGTAACATCGCCGCTACGTTTTCGGGATAGATTTTGTTGGGCTTTCGAAGCATTGGCGATCATCTGCAATTTCTTTCGGAGGGCCGTAAGTCTGCCGTTGATCATTTGGATCACTTAAATGATGAGTTAGTTCGTATAGTCTGCTACTTGAAGAGCTAGGAATACATACTTTTATGAACAGCTTGCTGATCATCCGGATTGATATCGGATGCACTCTCGCGAACCAGATCGCGTTCGGCCTTTAAAGATCCGGAAAGCCTGCGTTTGGAGAGGTCTTCATCGTTATCAAGCACTGCCTCGAGCATTCGAATGGCAGTTAAATACGAGAGTTCACATCCGCTTAGATCTTCGTTGGCGATTTCGTTGATAGCAGCGGCGCGGCTCATTTCGAGGGCTCTTTCGTACATTAGCTTTTCGGCGCTGAGACCTGCTGTTAACACAATACCCTCTGTGCTCGAGGTGCCAGCCGGGAGGAGTTCAAGTTGATTGTTTGCTGGGTGGCTTGGGTGGTCCTCTGGAAGCTGCTTCTGTGCTTCGAGGAGCTTTAGTCGTACCACTTCGGCTTTCTCTAATGTCTCGTTAAACCGTCTACGGACCCACTGGACAGCGGAG